CCTGGTTTACTTGAAAACCTTGTGATAAAGATCTGCCATCTCCATTGGAGACAAAGGGAAAAGCATAGAGAATCTGAAGGTCACATAGAGTTCCAGCCTTTTCAATATCTGACACTCCTGACAAATCATGGCTTTTGTTTGAGTAAAAGATTTCAGAAGTTTTGATTTGTCAAAGTTTGTAAAAGTTGGGATATCTTATTATTTTCAGAATAAGAAATAAATAAAATGAAAGCTCTATGATTGAATAATGAATGAGTTAGTCCTGAGACAGTAATATTTTATCTAAGTCTAATGTACTATGTTGAGAATACCTTCCAGGTAGCTTATTCTGATGTGCTTGCTGAATGTCATGTTTAAAAGTCACTGCTTTTATAGACTCAATTACTTATATATTTCAAAAACAGTTCTTAGAGAAATCATAAAGTTTTGAATATACATCTAATTGCAAAATTCCTCTCCCCCCCCCCCCGTTGTGTCAGAGTTCCAAAAAGGTGTTTAGAGAGAGCTCACAATTGGACACGCTGCCATCTAGTGACAAAGATGAAAGGTATGGTGTCCCCAACATTGTGTTCTTATGCAAACCATTTATCATAGTGCTGGTTCATTCTCAGCCAGGGGAACGTTCAGATATTTGAGTCTGCCTGTAACTGAATCAGTCAAAATGACTGACTTCAAAAAAAAATCTATTGCATTTTATTAACCTGTCAAATTACTGATAAAAATCATGAGCAAGGGCAGAAACCCCACAGGAAAGGAATGAGAACATGATAGATCACAGAATAAACTTGACAAGAATATAACAGATTAAAAAAATTTTTGTCTTTCCCTAATTTAGTTTTTCAGCCTTTTCCCATGAGGAACCAGATGACATTTGGTAGCCGTGTTTGCTGCCCAGCTCCTTACTCCGATATCATAATTAACGGCCTGTGAGTTCTCTGTAGTGAGACAAACTGCTCAATAAAAATCATGTGAAATCCAGTGTGATTTTTTTTCTTAGTTCTATTTGCTACTATAGTATATAAATGAAAAATAATCTAGTCAAGTGACACCTCTTCAGGGTTTCTCATTCTTAGGCCTTTCATTACACTGAAATGAGCTGCTATTTTTCCCTCCATTTTTGTCTTAGGTTATATCTTCTTGAGAACTTATCTTATTGGTCAAGTTCTAGGCTTTCCTTTTTGAACTTTCAGTTGTGTCCCTTCCTCTTAAGTGTTGGGCTCCCACCTGTCAAACAAGAGGCCATCTTCCCTGATATTCTCCTTATGGATTGTCCCTGAAAATACAAACACATGTTTTTCTATTCTAGAGTTTCAGTGCTAACCAGTGGTCACCCAGAGCATAACACAGGCAGGGTCTGTCTACTCTGTCTTTCCAGTGAAACCCTAGAGGATTCCTTCCTCTTTACATATTCAGATTGGGCTAGTTGTCTTTGCTGGTGATGCTTGTTTGGCCATTAAGTTCCATACTAAAATGGGAAGGAGATTTGGGGGTGTTTATTATTCCTTAGGCTTCTAATGATCAAACTACTGCACAGTTGCACTCATTTCACATGCTAGCAAGGTCATGCTCAAAATCCTCCAAGCTAGTCTTCAACAGTATGTCAACGGAGAACTTCCAGATGTGCAAGCTGGATTTAGAAAAGGCAGAAAAACCAGAGATCAACTTGCCCCGACATCTGTTAGATCATAGAAAAAGCTAGAGAGTTCCAGAAAAACATCTGCTTCTACTTCAGCCTCTGACTGTGTAGATCCCAACAAACTGTGGAAAATTCTTAAAGAGATGGGAATACCAGAATACCTGACCTGCCTCCTGAGAACTCTGTATGCAGGTCAAGAAGCAACAGTTAGAACTGGACATGGAACAACAGACTGGTTCAGAATCGAGGAAAGGAGTACATCAAAGCTGTATATTGTCACCCTGCTTATTTAACTTACATGCAGAGTACATCATGTGAAATGCCAGGGTCGATGAATCACCACATGGAATCAAGATTGTGAGGAGAAATATCAATAACCTCTGATATGCAGGTGACACCACTCTTATGGCTTAGAAAGCAAAGAGGAACTAAAGAGACTCTTATTGAAGGTGGAAGAGGAGAGTGAAAAGCTGGCGGAAAACTCAGCATTCAGAAAACTAAGATCATGGCATCCGGTCCCATCACTTCATGGCAAATAGATGGGGAAATAATGGAAACAGTGACAGACTTTATTTTCTTTGGCTCCAAAATCACTGTAGATGGTGACTGCATCCATGAAATTAAAAGACACTTGCTCCTTGGAAGAAAAACTATGACCAACCTAGACAGCATATTAAGAAGCAGAGAGATTACTTTGCTGACAAATGTCCATCTAGTCAAAACTATGGCTTTTCCAATAGTCATGTATGGATGTGAGAGTTGGAGTTGTTGGATTGAGTTATTGGAGTTCTTTATATATTTTGAATATTATCCCCTTATCAGAAATGTGGTTTGTAAATATTTCTTCCATTATATAGATTGCCATCTCATTTTGTTTATTATTTTCTTTACTGTGCAAAAGGTTTTTGATTTCTCACTTGTTTGTTTTTCTTTTTGGTGTGACATCAGAGTCCTCATCAAAATCAGTGTTTACCCTGTATGTTTTCTTCTAGGAATTTTATGGTTTCAGGTCTTATGTCTTCAAGTCTTTAATCCATTTTGAGTTGATTTTTGTGTGTGGTGTGAAATAGGGGTCAGGTTTCATTCTTTTGCATGTGCCTATACAATTTTCCCAACATCACTTCTTGATGAGACTGTTCTTTCCCTCTTACATAGTCTTGGCTCCTTTGTTGGAAATCAGTTGACCATATATACATAGGTTTATTTCTGGGCTCCATATTCTGTTCTGTTGATCTATGTGTGTGTTTTTATGCCAGTACCATACTGTTTTGATTACTGTACTTCGTGATATAGGTGCTTTTATATTGGTTGCATAAATATTTACAAATGTTAAATGTTTTGCTGAACTGACCTCTATATTATGACCTCCTTTGTATTGTTACAGTCTCTGGCTTAAAGTCTACTTTGTATGACTTTTTTTAAGTATAGCACCTCTGCTTTCTTTTGGCTTCTATTTGCATAGAATTTTTCCCTCTGCTTTTAAAATTTTTTTTCAATATTACATGTTTTTGTCTCATTTATGGATGTTCTTTTGTTGTGGTGGCAGTGCGGGGTGGGGGGGAAGGAAACTTTCTTCATGCATGCACAAAGTGTGATGCTGACCGAGGATGATGATGAAAATTGCTCAACCTCCTTGGGCTGGCTGAGGCTGACCTATGGTGAAACTTGGAAGTGAACTCCAGTCCCCGGAATCAGCCAAGCATGGGTCAAGAGGCGTGTTGAGGAGGGAGGAATCTGTCCCCTACCCACAGTCATACCCCATCCAGGGACATTCAGAAATAATCTTGCCGGCTCCTCGGTCAACCCCAAGTGGAGAAATGTGCACCAGGAAGATCGGGACCAGCAACAAGTATCTGCCCAGCCATCCAGATGCATCCTGCTCATGAGTTGCCAGCTGTCTTCTCCCCTCATTTTCAATCTGGTTTGTCCTTAAAGCTAAAGTTGAGTCTCTTGTGGGCAGCATTATTTATGGGTCTTTTGTTGTTGTTGTTGTTTTTATCCATTTGTCCACTTTTTTTTTTAATTGAAGTAAAGTTACTGTACAATGTTACATTAGTTTCAAGTGTACAGAAAAGTGATTCAGTTCATTCTGTTTTTCAGAGTCCACTTAAAGTAATTTTTGATAGGTATGTAACTTTTGACATTTAATTTTTTTATTGTTTTGTATTCCTTTGTTTTTTCTTCTTGTTTTGTGATTTGATGGTTTTCTGTTATGTTATGCGTAGATTTATCTTTTGTGTATCTTCTATAGCTTTTCACTTTGCTGTTACCCTGGGGATTACATAAAACATATTTATAACAGTTTAACCTGATAACAATTTTGAACACATACAAAGGCTGTACGTTTATAGACTTCTTCCCATTTTGTATTTGATGTCACAATTTATATCTTTTTACATCATGTATCCACTGACAAATTATAGTTATTTTCAATCCTTTTGTCTTTTAATTTTTATGCTAGAGTTTCAAGGGATTTACCTACCACCATTACAACATTAGAGTATTTTGACTTTATATTTGCCAGTGAGTTTTGTACTTTGATAGGTTTTCTTTCACTAATTAGCATCTTTTCATTTTAGCTTGAAGAACTTTTAACATTTCTTGTAAGACTGCTCTGGTGGTGGTGAACTCTCTCTAGCTTTTGCTTGTTGGGAAATCTCTCTCAACTTTAGTTGTGAGGCACAGCTTAATTGGGTGTAGTATCCTTGCTTGGAAGTTTTTCTCTTTGAACAGTTTGAATACATCATTTCAGTATCCTCTGGCTTGCACAGTTTCTGCTGATAGTCTCCCAGGTATTCCCTTATATGTAACAAGTTGTTTTTCTCTTGGTGTTTTTCAGATTGTTTCCTAGTCTGTAGCTTTTGAAGATTCAAAATTAATGTATCTCTGGGACTTCTCTGGAAGTCCAGAGGTTAAGACTTCATGCTTCCACTGCAGGTTCAGTCCATGGTCAGCCAAACAAACAAATATTGTGTTTCAGTGTTTATCTCTTTGGATTCTTTTTTTTTTTTGGAACTCTGTGGACTTTGTGGATCTGAATATTTCCCCATATTAGGGAAGTTTTCAGCCATTATTTGTTTCAATAAATTTTCTGCCCCTTTCTTGTTTCCTTCATTGACCTCTATAATGTGTATAGTTGGTTTACCTGATGGTGTCCTGTAAGTCCCTTAAATTATCTTAATTCTTTTTCATTTTTTTTCTATTTGCTCCTCTAACTGGATAAATTCCAGTGACTGTCTTCAAATTTGCTTACCCATTTGTTTAGTCTGCTATTGAACCCGTCTGATGACTTTTTCAGTTATTCTTAAACTATGTGATTTGTTTGGTGCTTTTAGATAAATTATTTGAAATTCTCACTTTGTTCATGCATTGTTATCCTAATCTCGGTGAGCATCTGCATGACTGTTACTTTGAACTCTCAGGTGAGTCACTTATTTCCCTTTTATTAAAGTCTATTTCTGGAGTTTTATTCGTTTGGAATATAGTGTATTTCTTCTTCATTTTCCTTGTCTGTGTTGGTTTCTGTACTTTAGGTAAAACAGCCACCTCTCCCAGTCTCAACAGAATGGTCTCTGTGGGAGATGAACTTTGTCATTCAGCCCAGCCCAAGCTTTTGGTTGCTTCTCAAACCTTCATGATAGTCCAAGCTACCTTCTTTGTTCTTGGTGTTTCTTAGTAGTTGAGGGTGTTGTCAGGACTGGTCAGTGTTGCAGTGGGAAAGATCACAGTCAGCATGTAGATGCAGGGTGATTGGGAAACTGACCCCTCAGATTGCAGGTGGGAAAATGAGCAGTTAGGTCTGATCCTGGGAGCTAGTGGTTTTTCCTGCTCCCTCTGCACTTGGCCTGGGTGCATAGCTGCAGGGGTACTTGTACTCCAGTGCTTGGTAAGAACTGCTGCTACGTCCTGTAGGCCTTGTGAATGCCAGTCCTGGTGGCTCTCAGAGCCAGATAATCTTCAGATCTGTGTACCAGCTCCTCCCTGAAGACATGGATGATTGGAGGAGGCAGAGCATGGATACAGTGGCTTTCTTGGTCCCTGGGGAGGATGGCAGTTCCCTGTGTGCTAAATTAGAAGCCTGACTCTAGGCAGCCTTTTAATATATGTAAATAGACCCTTTTCAGGGAAAGACCTGGAGTTGGTGAGTCCTCGCAAGCTGGGTAAGAACTGGCTGTGAGCATCTTGTGGGTTTCTTGGACACCACAAAACACCTTAAAACAAGGTGTTTGGGGCATGGTCTGTTCCGAAGGTGAAAATCATAAAAAGGGGAGGTGCTAGATGTGGGGTCCAAACCCTTTGCTCTTCAAGGTGAATTGTGGAGGTGGGAGTGCCCACCAGATTGTGTGGTGGTGTGCCAGAGTTAGGGTTTCTGGTAAGTCTTATGTCTGAGCCTTTCCTGTCCATTTCAATGTGGGTATTTTCTTGTCTGCTCAATGTGTAAGAGTAGCCCAGCTAGTTTTTCTTTTAGAAAAACCTGCTTGGTGTGCAGTAGTCTGTGCCATATGTCCATGGGAGGAGGGGAAGTTCAGGAGCCTCCTATAGCATGGTCTTAGTCCTAAACCCTCAGATAACTTTTAACACTTCCTAGTATTACTTTTCCCCTCCTTTATCTTCAAAGCCCTTGTCTAAATCATTTATTGTGTTTCAGTTTTCTAGCTTGGGGATTGTTAGCTTCTTTTTTTTTTTCCCCTCTGTCAGTCAACTTAAGTTCTAAACAGTATTCTTATTACTCCAGATGAGGTTAGGGTCTGTTTAAAGAGCAGTTAGTCATCTGTTTATGCAGCACAGCAGGTGGTCACATCATCCGCCATGCGTGTGAATACAGCCTGTGAAATGTGACATCCTCCCCTGCAGGCTGCCTGCTCCTGCCTCCCCAAGATCCCCCAAATGGAGTCTGTGCAAATCCTCCCCAGGTGGGTAAGTATATCAGTATAGATAGCAAACAGGAAGATGGAGGGGTGGTTTAGAAAAAGTGTTTTTTTAACCAAACCTGACTGACCTCTCTTTGTATTTTTTTCCTCAAAACTTTCTGTTGTTTTACTCATCCTAACACTCACTTTGAAAAAGTTATCTTAAGTAAAATCTAATTTTTCACACACTGCCAAGAACAAAGTAACCCTGCACTGGCTAGCAGAAGCTGTCACCATTTAGGACAAGACAGTATTCACAAAGCATACTGCCTGGCAAAAACCACTACAATGTTGTAATTAGCCTCCAACTAATAGAAATAAATGAAAAAAAAATCTTGAAACAGGCAGACCTCCTTCTATTGTGCTTTGCTTTATTGCATGTCACAGATACTAAGATTTTTATAATTTAAAGGTCTGTGGCAACCCGAACAAATCTGTTGGTACTGTTTTTCCAACAGCATTTGCCCAGCTTGTGTCTGTGTCACATTTTGGTAATTCTAACAGTATTTCAAACCATCTGCTAGCACAAAGATGACAGCTCACTGAAAGCTCAGATGATGGATAGTGTTTTCTGCAGTGAAGTACCCTTTAATTAAGGTATATATGTTGTTTGTTTTTTAAGATGTAATGTTATTGTATGTGTTAATAGGCTGGTGTAGAATACCTGTATTCACTGGGAAGTCCAAAATTTTGTGTTACTCTTTATTGTACCATTTGTTGTATCGCAGTGGTATGGAACCAAACCTGCAGTGTCTCTGAGGTCTGCCTGGATTAGGAAGTATTAGAAAGCCCTAAAAGGATTGTTTCGATGTAGAGTGTTTTGCTTGTTGTTTATTAAATGAGTAGGTGAGTCCCATATAATTTTGACTTGATTTTCATTCCTTAGAAGTTAATTTTCACAATGTGTAACTAGAAAAAGGGAAAACTCTTTTACTTCTAAACCTCTAGAGGTTCCTACATTTTGTGGCAGGATTTCTGTCAGTATTTTAGATAGTACCTGTGATCTGATGTAACTTAGGAAATAACTGCACACAACACTCCATAAACAGAAAGTGTTAAGCTGTATGACCAACAGCATGGTAATTGGACTGCTGGTGTTGTGCTGTGCATGAGGAAAGGCTGATAATCCAGAGGCAGTGCCTCCTTTAGAAACGACAATAGTGCCAAAAGCCAGTCCTTACTCAGAAAGGTCAGATATAGACAATCCACATGTACAATCATGCTGACAGGTTAAGTAGTTGAAAGAACTTATAAAATGAAGTCCTAAGTAAGAAACCTAGCTCTGCAGCTTAGTTTTGTAATTGAAATATAGTTGATTTACAATGTTGTGTTAGTGATGTATACAAAAGTGATTCAGTTATGCATGTGTGTGTGTATATATATATAAACATATATATATACACACACACACTTTTTCAGACTTTTTTCCCCTTATAGTTTATTACAAAATAGTGATTATAGTTCCCTGTGCTCTATACAATAGGACCCTGTTGAATAGACTGGTATCTTCGGTTGGTAAAATAGCCAGTGTTACGTGGACCTTTATGAAGGTTCCTCACTGTTCCCGCTGTCTCCAAACAGAAAGCTTTGTATTAATCCCATAAATTATTACATAATTTTTCTGACTAGCTTCATACCTAAGTGTTAGTGGCAATTGATGTAACATACCGCCCAGTGGGTTACAGTGTTTTCTCAAATTGCTCTTGCTTTAAAAGGGGCTTCTATCAGAAATGAAACACATGGCACTTGGAAACTTGATTTCCATACAAATGTAGAATCTTGATTATGCATACTGTTTAAAAATGACACCATACCGAGGACAGAGAGAGAGTATATATGTATGGTAAAAAGGCAAGTGAATGAAGCTATAATTTTTATTTCATTTCTCTTAATACATCCACAGCTATTTCCACCTAAATAGATCTTTAAAATAAGCATACACAGGTATTGACTATTATCTACAAATATTTATTGTAACACTTGAATAGAACTACAGGAAGCCCTTGGCACTGATAGAAAATATTGATTCACTGTTAGGTTACAAAAATTTATACATAGCAAAATTTAATGCTCTTTACATAAAAAATATTAGACTACTTAAACAAAACTTTCAAAAATTCCTGGTAAGAGCTACCAGAATTAGAAAAGTAAAATTAGGCTTTAGACACTGCCTCTTCTAGAACACTGGACTCAAACAGCACCTCCACTGCTGGAAAAAATATTTAGGTCTGTCATGCAACAGGAAAACGAAACACCAAGCTATTCTGGAACAACTGTTCTACACAGAAGAGATCGTCTCCCGATTTAGAAAAAGAAAAAATAGTCAAGATCCAAATAGGCATTTTTAGGCATTAACAACAACACCAACAAAAAGAATCCAAATGAAATATTATACTTGCTGTTCAATTTTAATAGCATCTGATAAAGGTATGCTTCCTTTCATTTTAACACATTTCTGCACGTGGATATGTTTAAAATCCAGGAAACAGCCAAACCACAAGTTAATTCTTAACATGAATATACATAGTTAACCCTATTATATTATGCAGCCCCCTTTAAAAGCACTGATGCACCCAACAATTATATGTATCATTTCATAAAGAACAACACAAAGTTTACCATCACTAATACCCAATACCTATAGTCACTTAATGTTCTGAAACACAATGATTTAGAAGGCAAGTTTCTTTTGAAGATGGCTTAAACTCAAGCATTTGGGTTTTTTTTCCTGAACATTGAACTTTCTTATTACAGGAAACTTAAGATTTAGATAAGAAAAAGTGAAATAAATATCAAACCTAATTGAAATTACTTCAGTATTCAAGTCTATAAAAGTAGGAGGTCTGTGGTCTGTTGGTAATTAGGTTTTGGATAGTTGGTATGAAACTGTAAACTTGCTATTCAGACCACATAAAAATGGTTTTGAGTGGTGGTCATTTTAATAAGGTAACACTTCTTCATTAAGAAAAACATCTGTGAAGCAAAATTCTTTGAAGGATTTGGGGTTGCCTATTGTTAAGTTCTTAGAAATTGAAAACAAATACTCATTAAGGCAAAGCTGACAAATCTATTACAAAATTGATTTTGGATAGCTTGTCAGTCTGAATCTAGCTTCATCCGTGGTAGGTAATGCAGAATTATTGTAGTGGGCTCAGTTTAGCATTCTTGAGGGGAAAAAAAACTATTTCTGATTGGACCAGGAAATTAGTATGTCCTGGACTTAGAGGGGTGGGGAGGTCAGCTTATATTATTCTTACAAGGGTCAACTCTAAGAATCACTTTATCTTTGAGCCAAAGTTTCATACATGTCAGCTGTCAGAAATGGAATGTCACAGCAATTCCATTTTAGTTCCTATTTAGATGTATTTGAGGACAGATGGCAGAAGTGAATGTGTGGTCATACTGCCTGATGCTGGTATGGCATGGTCCTTATCAAGGGGTATCATGTATTTTCACAGCCTGTCTTGGTAGGATTGTGAACATGCCAAAAATTTCAAAAGGATAAATATTCATTTTGTTGAAGTGTTGCCTTTTAAAATGGCTCCCATGAAACCTCCAATATCTGTTGTAAAGAAAGAGAGTTACCTACTGGAAGGTTTTCCTAGAAATACATCCCAGCAGCTTGAGACAGTGAAGTGTTTGGACTTCTACGTGAGTTTGTTTGGTGGGGTACACATCTGTACTGCAGAGCAGCTGTCTGATGATTTGTCAGAGCTGTAAATTCGTTGGCTGAGACCCTCTGGCAAACATTTATGTGTAAGAATTGAGTTGTTCTTTTGACCGAGACTGGATATCTTGCAGTTCCTGTTCTTCCTTTGCTTTGATATCTTGGTAAGCCTGCATTTTGCTTGCATCCTTTAAGTAAGCCCAGTTAGAAGACAGTATCATGAGGAAGTGGATCTGGAAAAGAAGGGTGAGCATGATGGCTAGTGAGCATGTGAGAAGGCAAAGCGAGCTGTGAAGGCAGATTAGACGCTCTGTGCTGTAAAAATGGAGAGGGTTATTCCGGATTAATACTCATTCTGCTATCAGGCATCGGAGACTGAGTGCAAGCTCTGCTAGGACGCTTCATATTAAAAGGGTGAAAAAAGTTAGTAAACAAACATTATGAACCAGGAGAAAATGGCCCAAGTTACTGTTAAGAAAAGGCAAAAATGAAATACGACAGGGTGCTTTTTACCATTTTAAGAGTCACTTTAAAAAACGAAGGCAAAAGTTCAGAAACACACTGTGTGGTTATTTTGGAATGAGTGTCATGCAAAGATCTTTCCTATCTGTGGACAAAAATCAATTTCCCCAAAGGCCTGAAAGTGTGAATGGTGTTTATTTTGAGTAAATAATATAAAACTACATATTTAACATGGAAAAATTAAGTGAATGTCAAAACCAAAATTAAGAACTATCAGCAAAGCATGTAGACTCCGTGTTAACACACTTTTAGTAGTGAAACTAGTTTTCGTGTATAACTGCCGTGATTTCATTTCACAAAACGTCAAAATCGTTATGATCATTCTTTACAGTTTGATGTGGCAAATGCTTCTTTCCCGCTTATTTTCCTCATCTTTCCTGCAAAATCTATATATCAAGTTCCTTATATTTCCTTCTCAACATATTGGAGACTTTCAGATCCAAGCACAATTACTTTCCCCATTAGAATCTTACGTGCAGTTTGAGAAGTGGCTATGAGGAATCAGTTACTACTCACCCCAATCCAACACTGTGAGGTATCCATTCTGTGGGCTCTGAAACGACTGATGGTGTTGTGTAAAAATAAAACTACATATAAATTTTTTTTGGGAGATAACAAGTGAGCTCTTCAAATTTTCGTCAGCTTATTTGAGGGGCATTTATTTGGTAGTGAGCCCTATAATTGTTAAAAATACTGTAATTAGATTTAAAATATATTTGTAAAATATTTTCCAGACAGAGTCTGAGAAGACCAAATCCAGATGAAAACGGTTCTCTTCCAATTCATCTTCAGCGCTTGTGTTCATTACTGAAATGGGTTATCAAGCAAGCAAAAATAATGGAAAACACAGGTATTCCAGCTTTAATACTTCACTTAGAGATACTGCTCAGAGTTTTAAGTTCAAAGAAACTGTTTTTCAGTGGCTGCTCACCAATGTCAGTAAATAACTGAATCCTTTCCACAAAGTGGAAATAGCCAGATCTCATCATCATTTCAGAGTTCATGTACGGTAAGTCATTTGAGTAATCTACCATGCAAAATGAGTTGACTAAAGCGATTTACAAATTACTGTAACAAAACTGCAGAAGCCTAGGCTCTGCTTTAGTCTGGGGGTCAGTGATACTTCATGCTATGGAATATAGCTCTCTAAAGCTCCTTATTGGCCTTATGCAACTTAGAACTTAGTGCAGCAATCTTCCCGACTCTTAAACTTCAAAACCGCATAGTTATATGTGGTAGCCATCATGTAGATCAGCTGGTGGAAGAGAACAGAACAGGACAGTAAGATACAGGTAGTGCGGGCCGCTGCCCTGACGCTTCTAAATTTGGCCGGGGGTGGGAGCCAGCTCAGAGCCTAGGGTGTTTCTTTTTAGCCATTTGTAAGCCCATTATATCTCTCTCACTCAAGCTTCTGGAGTCACATATATGATATAAGTCATCAGCCCAGAGAACAGATCCCCACCCTGAGGGAACAGAGGGTTGCCTCCACGTGGGGAGGGATGACATCAAGGTTAGACAAACTCTGAAGGACTCACTTCCTCATTTCTCAGCACTTGAGGTTCTCCCTCACTCTGCCCACCTTAGATCTCTGGACAGAAGCCATGCCCTCCCAAGTTTTCAGTCCACATGGATACACACAGACACACGCTTGTGCGGTGGCATCTTCCGTATTTGTGAATCTGTCCTTGTGCTAAAATTTCCCTAACTCTCCAGTCAGCACTCATGGCCATGCGGATGCACAGAATGCCGAAAAGCCGACACACCCAAGGCAACGCTCTGCCTTCCTGTGGCAGCTGTAAACAAGCGTCCTTTTCATCATGTCTTTGGTGCCCTGGTTTCTGCATTTTTGTGACCTCACTCTTTCTGTGGTCCCTCATGACAGTGCTAAAGGGTTGTCTAGAGTTTCTAAGCACAGGGAGACTGTGAGGGGCCTGATGGAGAAAATATATGTGTTCAGCAAGCTCCAGTCAGGCCTGAGGCACACTGCTGCTGGCTGTGGGTACACTGTTCATGAATCAGCAATATATAACCCCACAAGATGCCTTTAAACGGAGGCAAAAGGGTTCTTCCCACCAAATCTGAATCTCATCACCTACCATGAATGCCAAGACCAGCATCATCCTTCCTGCAAGCTAGACACGGGGTAAGTTTACACGGGGGCACCTGAACCAAGGCCGAGTCCCAGGTGTGTTGGCTGGAAGGGAAATCTGTTAAGACAATGCCTGCAGGGTACGGGGCCAGCACTCACCAGGGCGATGACGGTGGCGCCAGCTCCGGCACAGGCCACGATGAACAGGTGATAGGACATGTAGAACTAGGAGAGAACCGGGCACCGAGGTGAGCATTCTGCGGGGGAGTGATGGCCTCCTCTATTCTGGGTGCACTCCCTTTGCCTCTGTAGGGCTGATTTCTGAAGGCTGGGCACATGCTGGGCTTACCTGGGGGGCTTTCAGAACTTGGCAAGAGGCTGTACCCCGGCCAATTACATGGGAGTAGCTGGGGCTGCTCCCCACGAGCAGGGTATTATCCTGCTCCTGCATGCCTGCCACCTGCAGCCCAGATCATGGATGTACACGCCCAGCAGCCAGGTAGGTGGGCCCTGATTATTGTGGTTGCTCCTTCCAAAACCATGTCAGGATCATCTTCAATGCAAGCTCCCACCAGTGCATTTGAGAATCTGCTTTTATATACAGTTATAAGCCAGTGCCTGAAGACTCTTCTAGGGCAGAGAGATCTTTCAACCATAGTGTGTCAGCATTTACTGCCAAGTAAGGATGAACAAGCAATAGTAGCAACCCAGTCTTTAGACAAAAGACTAAGTTGTCAATGTATAAAAATACAGTTGTATACAAATTGAGGGCAGTCCTCTCTGGGAAAATTTACATTGGTCCTGTGACAAATGTTCTACTTTGAAAAATGATCTGAAGATGAAAGAGAAGACTCAAGATATATTCAGACTGGGCAGGATTGGGATCACTCGCCAAATATCGCCAAAAGAAAAAGCTGTCTGATGGTGCAGGACCGTCACTCTGGATTCAGCCATGGGACAGGGCCGTTGTCTAGGTGGAAAATGGTGGCTCAGAGCCCTCTCGTGGTCATTCTCCCTAGGAGCACCCTCTGTCTCAGCCTGAAGTGCCCAGTGGTCGTCTAGGACCAGCTGAGGGGCCGGGGGCCTACCTCGTTGGTGTTGCAGATGTTTTCCAGGGCCGAGCCACATATTCTTCCTGGGAAAGCATTCCAAGGGATGATTCCTAGAAAGTGAATCCCAGCAGGTTAGTGATTAGCACAAACGCCAGTGTCCCTGCTTGCACTGGGCCCCTCCACTTTCAGAGGCAGTTACAACACAATCATGTGCTATGCTCTTCATCAGCAGTTGATGTATCTGCCCTCTGCAGCAGAAACTTTCTGGAATAATAAAAAGTCCTATTTGGACAACAGGGCAAGAGCAAAGGCAACTAGTCCATAAGAGAATTAGACAAATTATACTTTGGTTAGTTGAGCTGATATTCATGAACTTGAGTTCAACAGCTGCAGGTCAACCCCCACCCCCTTATAAGGCATTTCCTCCTGAAGCCAAACACATCTCGCCCTGAACTTCATGGTCTGCATCCTTGCTCCTCAAGCTCTTTCACCATGGTTGGCCCTGACTCCGTTCTGAAAGGGAGAGGCTATGCTCAGAAAGGTTCATGGCAATTTGACAGAGGAATTTGTTTATATTCTGTAATCTGCACTTCCATTTTTTATGTCTTTGCTTTTCTGTTCCTTTTTGTTTTTTACAAGTATCTCAGAACTACTTCTGGATTCAAAGTCCAATTGGAAGCTTGGAAAACCACTGTACTTCCCCAGAGAGTGAGGACAGCTCAGCCTGTGGTGTCCTTGCTATATCCAACTCCCCTCTGTGGTCACCTCGTCCACATGGCGGCTGCTGCTTTTTCTGCCATTAATGCCTCGATGTGCCCTTAAATATGAAACACACCTCAAGTTCTCTTGTCTCCCAGGAGGTCAGAAAGGAAGATACTTAAAAACTATTTCTTCTACCTTTGTTATGGACCAGTAGTAAGTCTTTGTTTCAGGAGAATGGGAAATGATGAAACCACTGATTTCAAGAACAGAAGATTTTTTAAAATGATTACTGATGACCAGACATTTGTCGTGAATGCTGAATAGAGAAATGATACATGCACCTAGATATTCATTTACAAATATTTTAAAAATCAGCTTGAGTCTCTGTTTTCCATTTATCCTAAAGAACAGTGTGGTTGAACCTTTGGCTCTATGAGAGGAGATCAGTGCAAGGGGCATTTTAGGTTAGGTTTTGTATTATGGTTCAAGATAAAATGCTGAGGATAAGCCAGACAGGAAGAAAGCTCTTCTAGAAAAGCTCTGAAAGAACAATTATTTCCTCTTCAATTCTAATGGAAAACTTTTTCCCCCTAGTTGATCCTGCCAAGAACAGGAGTTTCACCATCCTGGACAGAAGTACTACTGAAACTGCCTTTTCTCACTCAAGAGGGATGTCTAGTTTGCAGTGATGGACAGGAGGTGCCACGGCCCTTTCAGTGGCCTCTCAAGATGAACTGAACTTAGTAAAGTGCCCACTCAGGAAGATAAATTTGAATAGGTATCCAGCGCTCAGCTTTGTTAAGAGTCCCTTTGGATGACTTTAAAATATGCCCGGATTTTAATAGCCAGGACATGGAAGCAACCTAGATGCCCATCAGCAGACGAATGGATAAGGAAGCTGTGGTACATATACACCATGGAATATTACTCAGCCATTAAAAAGAATTCATTGAATCAGTTCTAATGAGATGGATGAAACTGGAGCCCATTATACAGAGTGAAGTACGCCAGAAAGATAAAGACCATTACAGTATACTAACACATATATATGGAATTTAGAAAGATGGTAATGATAACCCTATATGCAAAACAGAAAAAGAGACACAGATGTATAGAACAGACTTTTGGACTCTGTGGGAGAAGGCGAGGGTGGGATGTTTTGAGAAAACAGCATCGAAACATGTATATTATCTATGGTGAAACAGATCACCAGCCCAGGTTGGATGCATGAGACAAGTGCTCGGGCCTGGTGTACTGGGAAGACCCAGAGGGATCGGGTAGAGAGGGAGGTGGGAAGGGGGATCGGGTAGAGAGGGAGGTGGGAAGGGGGATCGGGATGGGGAATACACGTAAATTCATGGCTGACTCATGTCAATGTATGACAAAAACCACTACAATATTGTAAAGTAATTAGCCTCCAACTAATAAAAATAAATGAAAAAAAATATGCCCGGATTTTATGTTGTCATTGAGTCTCCAGAGCCACATCTCTCCTGAATCTTCAAAGTCTCCACTCACATCCTGAGTCTCCAGAATCTCATCTCCTGAGTGTCCAGGGTCTTGTCTACAGTCTCCTCTCAAGACTAGCCTAGGTCTTCTCTCCTCTCCTGAGTCTCATCTCCAGAGTCTCCTGAGTGTTCAGGGTCTAACCTCCAGTCTCATCTCCTAAGTCTCCTCTCCCAAATCTCCTAACCCTCTTCTCCTCTCCTGAGTCTCCTTTCTCGATCTCCTGAGACATCAGGGTCTCATCTCCTGAGTCTCGTCTGCTGAGTATCCTAGGTGTCCTTTCCTGAGTGTGCTATCCTAAGTCAATAGTGTATCCTGTCCAGGGTCTCGTCTCCTGAGTCTCCTGTCTCTCAGGCTCATGAGTAGCCTAAATCTCCTCTCATGAGTCTCCTCTTCACAGTCTCCTGTCCTGAGACCCCAGGCTCTTGTCTCCTGAATCACCCAAGTCTCGTCTCCTGAGTCTGCTCTCCACAGTCTCTTCTCCTGAGACTCCAGGATCTTGTCTCCTGAGTCTCCTGACTCTCTCTGCTCCTGAGTAGCTTAACTCTCACCTCTTCTCCTGAGTCTCCTAAGTCTCTTCTCCTGAGTCTGCTATCCCGGGTCTTGTCTCGACTGAGTCTCCAGAGTCTCATCTCCTGAGTCTCCACTGTGTTGTCTCCCGAGTCTCCTAACTGTCCTATCCTAAGTAGCCTAAGTCTCATCTCATCTCCTTAGTCTCCTAAGTCTCCTCTCCTGAGTCTACTGTCCAGTGTCTCATCTCCCGAGTCTCCTATCCCAAATCTCCAAAGTCTCCAGTCTTGGGTCTCGTCTCCCAAGTCTGAGTTCCTCTCCTGAGTCTCTAGGGTCTCATCCCCTGATCTCCAGTCTTGTTTCTTCAGTCTTCTCTGCTATCCTCCATCCTAATGATTATTAGGATTATTATTATTACAACCCTGTAATAATTTAGGCCCGCATACACATAGAACACAAATGAATCACAGGAAGTACCATATTGCCGGATGTCCACACAGATCTGCTCCACTCCTGCTGTCCCGTTGGTTTGGGGGGACTTGATGACCTCACAGGTGGACCATATGTTGTAGAACATGAACACTGGCACTGCCGAGAAACCAAACACACCCAGCCAGGCCACTCCCAACACATAGGTGAGGAAGACGAACTAGGACAAGAAGGAGAAAGAATCTTCACCAACCAGTACAATCCCTGGGAGGAATAATAATATATTTCTCCTAATACTGAACTTGCTGGATGCAGTCACTGGACCATAGCAGATACAAGGGAAGTTTTGGAACTTTGAAGTTCCCTATTTAGTAAGGACGTGAGTAGCCAAGGCAGGCTGTCCCTTGTCCAAGGTCACTGAGCTAGCTGGGACAGGGCCTCCTTCAGCCGTGCCTTGTAAATATCAGTTCCACACTTACCAAAGTGTGTGGATGTTCTCACAGGACACTGCATTAGAACTCTGTTCCAAATTGCCTTTATTCTATGTAATAGATGGGCTGTAGAACAGCCATCACTACAGGAAGCTCTTTCTAGAAAAGAACCTGGGTAGTTTCATGATCCTGTGAAATTACTAAAAAGCATTAGATGCACCTTTACTACATTTACAATAGCCATGAACACAAGCTTAGTGCACAGTAAACCTGATCAAATGCTCATTTCCCTCTAGTCTTGCTTGGTTTTACATCTGTAAGAGTCCTCACCTCAGGACAGCAGAGCGCTCAGATGGTGTCCTCAGCCCTGCAGCCTGGGTGTTTATCTTCCTCCTCCCGTGACTTTTTGCCTCCATGTGAGTGCATCTCTCTCAACTCCCCAGCTGTTTTCTTCACATTTGACCAGTTTTCAAATGCCAGACCCACACATCCAGCTGCTTGGCATAGGCCATCATAAACCCCACTTCAACGTGCTCCCAACTCCAACTCCAAAAATGCCTCCTTCCCACCTGTCCCTCCACCCCTGAGTCTCCTTTTGTGATAGAGCACTTCCTGACCCTGTCTCTTACCGAGCCCCTTTTAAGCTCTGTCCTCCACTAGGCCAGAGGTCAGCAAACACTGTCTGTGAAAGGCCCGAGGAGGAACTGGTCAGGCTCCACTGGGTTACAGATACGCCTCAGCTTTGCTGAGTGAATGCGAGCACAGACCACATGTCAGCAAAGGGAAGCAGATGCCAAAAACCATACCAGACAGAAAAAACTTGCATTTCGTATCATTTCATGCATACTCACCATCCCGCTGATGCACCGGCCACAGGCTGTTGTTTTAAACTCCCCATGCAGTTCTTTCACTGCACTTGTGGTGTAGAAGCCTTCTGCCAGCAGAATGATCCCATACAAGAAGAAAAAGGATGCAATTCCGTAGATGACATACTGCATCAGTTGAATTCTGTGAAAAGAAAAAGATCCCAAGTGGTTACATTTGCAGCCTGATGAACAGACGATTTTGGCCTCTGGAGGGAGGCTGTAAGGGTAGGTGACATCCTGTGACAGCCAGCCCACTGATGGCTTTGGTGGGGGCACCACAGACAGGCACCCCTGTCCAGACCACAGCAACCTGGGCCCTTCTTCCCAGGGGTGGGCAACTTCCCAGATGAGGGAGATGTTTCCTTTGGACAGGGCCCAATGGACTTTTAGTACTTACTAGATGACACTCCTTTGCATGTAAGTAAATGCAGAGATTGACAAGTTACAGCCACTCATCCAGGACACACATACAGCCAGCATTTCAACTTGGGTCCAGTGGACGGCCTGTTCTTCCACCACATCAGAATGTCTCCCAACCAGGCTTTGTGCTTAATAGTTTTCTGCTAAAACCCCTAAGTAAGCATTCATGGCCTCTCTATGGAGTAACTTGTGCAAACGCTTTCTGCCTGCGCAAGACACTTGTGATAATGTATCAAGTAGGTTTAAGATACAAAAAGTTAATTCACATCTAATTTTGTCCTATGAAAGCCAACAGAAATGCAGATGACAACCTCTGGCTGCCCAGTGGAACCACCTGGTGAGTTAGAGACTACGGGTACCTGGGTCCTATCCCCAGAGATTATGACTCAATTAGTCTGGGGTGAAACATAGACCTGGGATTTTTTTTAAAAACATTCTTCCAAGTTTGAGAGCCACTTATCAACATCACCAGCTAATTAAGGTACCATGCTTTCCTGAGGCTCAGTCATGGTAAATATTTCTTGGTCTTTTTTGTACCCAGTTGGCACTCATTGAATCCCTTGTCCTGCTTGATCCTCCTCACAGCCTCCCCAAATGCTGATTTCTTTGAATCACTTCACAAATAAATTTCCCAAGGACTCTTCCAACATGCTTCCCTTATTATTTCATAAAAATTTATTCGTGCCTTTTTCAAAGGTCTGGTAGAAAAGTATCTCCCAATCACAAGGCACCTAAAGACTGTCAAACTTTGGGAGTAAGAAAGGAAAAAGCAAACAGTCAGAGGCAGGGGAAGATACACAAAGACATCAATACACTGCTGCCGGGCAGGCACGCTTATGAGAATCCATGCATGGGAGTTGGACACTCAGGAGGGTTCTAGGATAGCAGGGCTGAGGCCATACCCCTAAAAATCCCCCTTTTCTGAACTGGAGGATCCCCGGGGATTTTTCCTTTGCTTGAAAAATGAACGTCCAGGTCCTACTCCTGTAGACTTCGGGTGGGGCTAAGTCCTTGATAGGCTCCTACCAGGCCAGGGCTGGCCATTTTCTCTGACAGCATCAGAGGGCATCTGTTATTCGGGGACTGTGGTAACTCTCTTGGTGAGAGGATGGGCAGTGTTGCCACCATCCCCCTTGGCCACCCGTGTGTTTTGTCTTATGTGTGCACTGTCCCATTCCCCAGGCATGGTCCTATCTCAGGTCCCCAACACCCACTGCACTCCTGGCCCTTTCTTTTCCCTTCTTTCCTGGCCCTTTTCCTGTCTGCCCCTGGGGAGCGTGAATGAAAGGCATCCATTTTCTCCCAGGGGCGCCCACAGCAGTCTTTCTGCAACCCTCCTGGTGTGGTGGCACTTTAAATCTACTTCTAAAAGGAAGGAGGCAACTTACACCTCACTCAGCAGGGCATGGTCACTGGTGTTGGTGGAGAAGTGCTGCTCCAGGATTGCCACGGTGCCCGCCAGAGCCACGTGCCCACAGCCGCAGAACAGGGCGACCCCCGAGAAGCAGAGGATGGTGGCCACCAGGGAGGCGTAGGGGACTCCGCCCAGACACTTGATGCAGCATTCAAAGCAGCCTGGACCCAGGGGAGAAAAAACACGGCTGGTAAGGGTAAAACGCCTACGACTGACTTCATGAAGACAGCACATTAACAGGAAAGGTCGACTCTTCCCTCTGCCCCGCATGCTCTTTGGGTAACAGCTCAACATCGCAGGGGCCGGGGGAGCTGTCCTCATCTCATTCTGTGGGTGAGGACCTGGGGGCTTCAAGGGGAAACACAGCTTAATTTGCTCGGGGTGTGTGGCAGAGCAGCTAAGTGACAAATGGTTATGGAGTAAGGCACAGCTCTACCGCTTCCTGATTGACTGAGGACTGAGGTTAGGGGACCCCTGCTCAAGCGACAATGAGAAGCAATCACCCCACTAACAATGTCAGAGCTGCAGTGAGGCTGCTGTTCTATGGAGACAAGTGACCGTCAAGTTCCCCCCAGCCTCACCCTTACGGGGTTTCAGGTAGCTATTCCTCTCTTTTTGCAGCAGCCAGTGGCTTTCCCTGGCCTCTGACCTCCTGGGCAACCAGAAGAGTCAAATACAGTAATTACACTATTGCTGTGATTAGAAAAATATCAAGGGAATCAGTCTGGAAAGGGGGTGGGCATATGGGTCCCTAGAAGTACCAAGCCACCCAGACCCACTCAAATGGGCCCACTCAGGTTTCATTCATGTCAATATCAGAAATCAGCTCAGCTTTTAAATAAAAATGTTCCCCCAGAGTCAGGCAGCACAAGCAATTTAATCATACTTGTCCCCCGAACCCACCTCCTCAGCTTCCACCTGCCCCCACCCAATGCACATGTTGAGAGTAAGAACCCAGAACTGGTGGGTGATGTTTAAGTACTTGGAGAGGGAAAAGGAACAGGGTTGGGGTGGGAGGGGACAAAATGAGCATCCATGAAGTGAAATGGAGGAGAGAGCCACAGTTCACGCTTCATTCTTGAGAGAAATAAAACTCACTCATTTTTCAAATCAACTTTGACTTGAGATGTCCATAAAGACCTCCCCAGGGACTGAGTCAGGTGACATTTTCAGTTCGGAGACATTTTACATTTCAGTGGAGCGATGCAGGCCTCAGGATAATGTTGGTCCCTCTCCTGACCTCCCGTCCCTGTTTATACTATCCAGACCCTTAACTAAATGGCTTGTCAGGGAAATCGAACTCTGAATGCATTACGATGTTTAACAGCAATCAAGAGCAGTTCATGACTTCAGGGCAAGCACATTAAGGTGGCTAAATTTCTTTCCCCCAAACAGCCTTTACAGTAGACAGGGAATGACTACCCAGCATGAAACACTGGAGCTAGGCCTTTCCATTTTGATGATCATTCCATGCTAAACTAGCGTTTGCTTAAACCTACCCTAGGAGATAACCCCACCTCTCTATTCAGTTCACTGGAAAATAAAAATGCCAGGCCCTCATAAGAAAGTGTTCCTTTCATTTCAAAAGATGACCAGCTATTTTCGAGAAGACCAACCTCCCTGAAATGGATTGACGAAACCGCTCAAAATGGAACCCAGTACACAATATAGTTCAAGTCCACTAGCAAGTCAGTACCTTAAAGAGATTTGGATATGTGAGATTTGTGAACACAAATGATAGAGGTCAATCTCATTTTGTCCTATGACCTCCTAGCGGGTTGAAGTGAGGTAAGAGGAATGCAACTAAAAGTCCAAATCTCCAGGCTCCCAAACCAACAGCAACTAAAATTCCTGGCCTTGATGTATGTGTTGCATCACACGAGAGACGAAATAGACCTCTTTTCTCTTGTGTTGTATCATCCCCACTTCTCCCATTCTCAGGCTCCACGAGGAAGTTAGGCACAAGATGAATGCTTCCATGGCTAACAAAGTTACCTCTGGTCCTTATTGGTTAGAGATGTGTGGCCTTGAGACTGTGCTGGCCAAGATGGTGGCCACTGGGCACATGTGGCCATTTAAATTACTAAATCAAAACTTCAGCTCTTCCTTTGCAGAAAGTCACATTTCACATGCTCAAGAGCCACATGGGCTGGTGGCTACCATCTTGGACAGAACAGATACAGGAGATTCTCTCACTGGAGAACACTGCTGTTGTGGAAGATCAATTTTGACGTGCCACATACTCACTTTCTTGTGACATGAGCTAGGTTCTGAGTTTTACTTTGGATTTCATTCAGTCCTTTTTGAAGATCTAGGGGGTGATAAGCACTGTGGTTAGCACTGGAAATACAAACATAAAATAAGATGTCTTCCTTCCTTGCCTTCAAGGAGATCACTTAGATGAGTAACAATTTCTATGGCACACCGTGATGACTACCAAGACAGAGGCTACTGGAGGACCAGTGGATGGTTGGGTGGAGGAGAAGTTTACAGAAGGACAGGAGGAAATATAATTCAAATTGGAGAGTGATCCTGAAAGGCTTTCTACAGTAAAACCTAGGGTGCCGAATATGTGAACAGCTGACATGGGGACACTGATATATAGTCTGATAAAATTTGAAGAAGTCTGCATATTACTGTTGTACATTATCTTACTAAGCCTACATCCTTTCTCATCATCTGGGGTTAGGGTTAGGTGTTACAGTGCAGTACACTCACCCTTTAATAAGAGAACTCAACCTTCCAAATCCATGGTTGCAACTTCAAAACAGTCTTTCCTCCAAATGGGATAGAGCTGTCTGCTTCTTTCAAAGGAAATGCCACAACTGTTCCGTGGCTCGAAAAAGACAAGGGGGATCAGAAGAATGATGCTCTTCAGTCCCCAATTCACCACTAGATCAAGGCTAACATTTTCCTCCAATTTGTCTCTCTCATGGACTCCACACATCCTCATGCTGTGGGTCTAGTTCTAGAACAGCAGGGGAAACCAGAGACTCAAGACTTTCGGGATCACTTCAATGAAGCATACTCACTCAGCAGAAGCCAATGTTCTTAGGGTTTCGGTGGGTTTTATTTATGAACATAGAACTCTGGCTCCTGTAGAAGTCTCCATATTGGTCAGGGTTGTTGTATGTGCACACCTAAAACTTTTACGAACCCTGCTGGCCACCAGGAGCCAGAGCCTGTGAAATACATCCTGGGGAAAATTACAGGAAATAATAGAACTGGATACAGAGCTTATTCTAGCATGGTTGACCAATTACCCACAAGGCTAAAACTGCATTTCTGGTGGATATCCAACCAGCTGTGAATGGATTGCTCCCCACTGTACATTTTCTGTCAGTCTAGAAGCCATCTCTCCCTACGCTGTGTAACATATCTTTGGACACTGGGTAATTTGGTCATATGCCACACACTTATCCCAGAGGAACAAAGAATGCTGCAAAAAGCTGGCAAGAAAAAGCTAAATATGTTTCTAAAATATGATATCAATACTGTTAGTGTCCTCATATTAAGAGCATTTCTGACCTATGGGTACATGTGTGGCAGAGGTAGGGGGTGGAGGCCATGGTGATGCTGTGCGCTCAGGTTGGTCTCACAGGAGTACACCGGCACAGCCCCATGGGGTCCTGGGCTTACTATAATGCTCCGCTACTGCCATCTTGACATTCTTACTACTTTCTGCACAAGGGTGTCTGAATTTTCAATTTTGCACTTGGCCTACAAATTATGGATCCAGTCCTGGGTGTACTTATGTGAGAGGAGACAGTAGGGTTCTTCCTACTTTATATGCCCACTGTGGCATGCTTTTATTTCAGTGTCAAATAGAAACAGAGCCTTGAAAGGCAGACATCACCTTGCCCACCTATCACGTCATCCTGAGCACAGCAACCATCTCATGAGGTCAAATGCCTGGCATGTGGGAGAATTACTGGCTTCCCCTTTGCTCTGAGAGGGAGTAGGAATCACCCACTGTACTAACCCCAACAGAGCCAACGCTCCAGGTTCTGCTAAACCAGGGATCTGCAAACTAGAGCCTGTGGTTTTGTCAATAAAGTTTTATTGAAACACAGCTTACACCCCTTCATTGACAAATCACTGGCGGCTATTTCTACTCTGCCAAGGCAGAGCTGGGTAGCTGTGACAGAGAGTGCGTGGCTTACAAAGCCTGAAACAATTACTTCTTCGAGGAAAAGTTTGCAGACCCCTATCTGGAGGCACTGACAGGCAGACTGTGGTCTGAGGACCTGGAGCACCATCATCACCTGTGAACATGGGAAAGATGCAGAGTCTCGGGTCCCACCCTGGAACAACTGCATCAGAAAATCAGTGGTGCGGTGGGGTAGCCTGGCATCTGGGCTTTCAGACAAGTCCCACAGAGGCTCAAATCTGAGAACCACAGTCCTAACGAATTGCGCCAGCTCTTCACGGTGGCAGCCCCACCAGCTTTCTTTTATTACCAGCCAAACTCCGTGATGATAAACACCGAACACCATGAAACAATTCCCAGCTTCTGGCCAAGCTGGAGTATCAGGGAGCTAGTTTATCCTCCGGCCTGAAACCACAACCAGACTGAAGAAACCTGTGCAACGATGGTCTTCAAGGTAATTAGACAGCAGGCTGTGAAGGACCACCCCTGGCGAATGAGTCAATGATTAAGTTCTCAACAGAACCAAAGAATCCATGTGAAACGCCCTGGGACACGTTTCAAAGAGGCAGTTGGCATGGGGTCACCTGAAGGTGCAGCTCAGCTCTCACTGGAACAAGAGAAGCTCTTCCCCATAACCTTGCTGTTATCATCATCTCAGGTACTGGGGTTTCTTAAAGGCCTGATTGAATGGAAGCTGTCAATTAGGCAGGGTAGTAACAGATATGGGTGAGGACAAGAGCACTGGGAGGGAGGGCACAGCTGTCCATCTATTCCATCTCATTCCATTAGCACATTCAATGCTCACCCAAGTGTCTCTGAGGTCCCACGTACTGGGCTGGACACTGGGGACTCGACAGCGAGCTAAGATAGGTGAGCTACATGCTGACGCAGTTTATAGCCTGGGGGAAAACAGACATTATCCAAATGGTGTGGGGCTCAGAAGTGCTAGGAAACAGCAGGGACTTACTCAGGCTTTTGGAGGGTGACCGGGGACAGCCTCCACAGCTTAGA